GGATTTCCTTGTCTGTAAAGGGAGACCTGTTCAAGTCTGTCCCTCATTGATCTATCAGGTTATATTTTTCTTGTTGATTTGTAGAAGTGATTTATATATTCTGGGTACAACTTTTCTTTTTCCATTTTGAGGCTTGTATTTTCACTTAGTTTATGGTGTTTTTTTTAATTGACTTTATTTTTTAGAACAGTTTTAGATTACAGAAAAATTGAGAAGATAGTACAGAGAGTTCCCGTATACCTCACACTCAGTTTTCCCCATTATTAACATCATACATTAGTGTGACATGTTTGTCATGACAAATCAAAAACTCTAGAGACCCAGAGATTTCTGAAAGAAAAGGGTTTATTGAACCATTACAGATACTAGCCAGAAAAAGGGCTGAGTCCTGGGGCAGAAAGTTTCTGCTTCACCAGCAGCAAGGCCAGTTAACAGAAACATCTTGTCTACTAGACTCAAGAAACAGGGCACATTTATGAGGGGTTTCAAGAAAAGAAAGCCCTTTAAGTTCACACTGGCTACAGATAAGGAAGGTGGGCTAACTCGAAGCAGGGAAAGTCTGGAGGTAGATGGTTAGTTCATAGAGAAACCTCATGGATTGGTTTTTGATGGTCGGACACCATTCACATGTAAGAGGGATTCAGCGGTTCTGTGGACCTTCTAGATGATTGCTGAAATGACTTCATCCAGGAATGTGGAGATTCTGGTTAGCTATGGCCAGAGGCTATTAACTGATGACCTTCCCTTGTTCCCCTCCTCATTCTCTGGCTCTTATGTTACTTAATTTGGGACATTTCAGAATTTTTCCTTACCAGTTATAATTAATGAGTGAATATTGATACATTATTACTAGCTAGAATCCATACTTTATTCAGATTTCCTTTTTGTGGTGCAAGACACCACATTATATTAGTTGTCATGTCCCCTTAGGCTCCTCTTGGCTGTGACAGCTTCTTAGACTCTCTTTGCTTTTGATGAATTTCACAGTTTTGAAGAGTCCTGGTCAGATATTTTGTGTGATGTCATGCATTTGGTTTTCTTCATGATTATGAGGTAGGGCAGGGAAATGGGACAAGGGTCATGCCACTGTAAAATCTACTTAGCCTATGAAAAAGGCCCAGCTTATTCTTTCACTTAGTCTATATGCTGTTCCTCTTCTTCCAGCCTCTAAATCAATTAAGTAACTTTGTAAACAAGACAGGAGATAGACCTCAGAAGTGCAAATGAACCTATGTGGATAAAGAGTGCCAAGATCAGGACCAATGCAGTCACTTAAACAACCCTGTTCTTAAGACAAAACTTCAAAGGAATTATGAATCACCTATATACACATCATGCCTTAAGCTGACCCTTACCCAATAGGCCCTATAGAACCCCAACCCACAAACCCTTAAGCACACCTCCTCTGTGAGACTGCCTGCACTCCCCTTTCTTTGAGTGTGCACTTTTTGCCTTAAATAAAGCCTTATCGCTGCTCAGCTTATTGTGTTTTGTCTCTGCACTCTACCAGTGGTAAGCTCCTTTTACTTCACTATTTCATTCTATTTTCTAAACTTAATCACAAGTCTTCACTCTCTCTGTCCTACTTCAGACAAATAGGAAAGGGCTACTGAGAGCTCTGATTTAGGTTTGCAAGTTCCCATCACCTGGGTGACCCAGACAGGACTGTAGCTGCATGATCATGCTCTTTAGCCTGCCCCAAAATCTCCTTTCTTTGCCTGTGGGAAATTCTCAGAACATAATGTCACTCCATCCACTGCTGTGAGGCTCCCTCAAATCCTGAGGTGGTAAGGGCTTAGTTCTGCAGATCCAAGCAGACACTGGATGCCAGGTGACCCTACCTTCAGGAGCTGGCAAGGGATCTGCTCCAAGGGAGCAGGAGTTAAATGAGCTTCCCTTTCGTCTCTCTGTTCTTCCTTGCTCTCTGCTGTCTGCACACCTGCTAACATTTGTTTCTACTCTCGCGTAAATGAATTCCTTCCTTAACTACACTCGTCAGACCTGCTTGAGAATTGTTTCTCGTTCAGAGTCAAGAACCCTCCCTGTCCAGGTTGAGGTTTCTCCTAGTGCTTCACCCAGTGCACAGGGAGAGACCTCCCCAGACGCAGCTGCCCTGCAGCAATTAGACAGCAATTAGATTATGGGTTTGGGAGGAAGGCCACAGAGGTACAGTGGCTTTCTCATCACATCGTATCAAGTGTATGTACTATCGACAGGGTTTGTCACTGTTGATGTTGACTTTGATCACCTGGCTGAGGTAGTGTTTGTCAGGCTTCTCTACTGTGAAGTTACTCTCTCTCTCCACCTCCCTTCTGTATTTTATATATGTGCCTTTTGAAAATAAATTCTTAATTTTAATTGAGTAGGCGATGCCTGGTCTGGGGTGCATGATCTTGGCTTCCGCAAGGCTCCCAGATGGCTGACTGGCAGGGAACAGGCCACCTCACCATGCTCTCTGGTATCACTCAAAACTTACTGTGGGAATGAATGGGAGGGGTGGCAATGGAGGGGCCAGCGTTAGGGAAGCAAACTGAATTATATATTTTTCGAATCTTAAATCTGGACCTCTCCTTTCGAAATTCAAAAGCCAAGAATTTGACATCTTTGTTTTCTGGTTTTTCTCTGAGTCCTGCCCTCAGGGCAGTGGATGACTGGAGTTGATGATTTGGCCTGGGAGGAGAGGTGTGGCAGGGGAGGAGGCATCTTTTAGGCTACCATGGTTCATTACTTCAAATATTATCCCGTCACACACATATTCAACTCTGAATGCTTCAATGGAAAAGTTAACTGCACATCACTAGTTGTTTACTGAACACTAAAGACTGAATCAGAAGGGCTGCATTCATAAAGCAGAACTGCTGACAATTCAGAATGTGACCTTGAGTACATATGCCCTCCTCCAACGTTTCAATCTCTCCATCTATGAAACAAGGGGAAGGCTTCCTACAGTGTTTATCTTACTGAATTCCAAGGATATAAGAAGCAGCAATGCCCCTTTGAGACCTCAGAGGAAAACAGGCCTTAGATTTAAAGGATAAGCTATTCGTCCTTAGCTCAAAAAAAGATGCTGTTTCTCAAGACATAGATTATGAAAGATTTTGAGATGTTGAGGTTTCCTTGGGGGGAAGAGGAAGTGGAGGGACTTACTCTATGTTCCAGTCTATTTATAAATCTTTTGGTTTTCTTCAAATTAAAAGAAGTAAGAATGTCCTGGAACTCTTATAACAACAGAAAAATCCACTCCTTTCTGTTTCTTTAGGCTGGAAGGAAGTGCAGGAGCTCTGCTCAACTTTCAGCTGATGCTGCTAAATAAGGTTTATTTAGACAAGCTCTTTCAGGGCCTTTGGTCTAGAACCTATTCTAGGATATGCAGCAAGATGGACAAAGAATGAAATTTTAGTTGATGTGAAGAGAAATGACTCCATCATGCTTATAAGCAAATTTCCGGAAGATGTTTAAATCCTTGTTGATATTTATTTTTCAAGCCAGTCATTTTAGTGTTGATGTTCTGGAAATTAACTGCTTTAGACACTTTTTATTATCTACATTCATTTCACATTCCTAATGGAAAACTATCCCTTCCCCTTGCAGATTTCCTTAAAGTCACATTTGTGCAAATTCTCCTCTGAAAGAATGTAAATTCAAGCATCATGAGCTTCCTGAAATTGAGTGAGGAAATCCAGATTCCAGTACCTAAACTGAGGGTAGCTTTGGTAAGCATAGTGGGTTCCAGAACATTCAAATCTGAATATTCAGGCAGTGTCTGTCTAGGTCCAGTTTTCAGTTTAGCAAGTTTTTCTGAGTATAAACTTAAGAGGTCCACTACCTGAAAAACTCCTGGGGTTCACTGCTTTCAACCCACTCTCCTTTTTTCTCCCTCAGTTAATCCCAAGAAGAAAATGGAGACTGGGAACTGAGGAAACAGGGCATTTTCCCCACTTCGTACCAGACGAAGTGTAGTTCTTTGATGTAAATTTCAACATCCTCAATGCACATGTCTCTGAAATTTTTAGCTCTACGTGCCCCCTCCCTCATGAACCTCTTCAGTGGTTAAAGTAAACAGCTAATGCTCAACCTGAAGACTTTCTCCCTGCCACACCTTACAGTTTTTTGCTACCTGGAAGAACCTCCTTATCTCCTATTTTTGCTATTGAAACTATATCCATCTTCCAAGGTCAGCGGCTAGAGCATCATTTTCTGACTGCAGATGCCACACTGTGTCACTTCTTGCCTCATATCATAGGCAAGAAACTATGAGATGTGGGGAGGATCCTGGTCTAATTAGTACGTCTAGCTCTCACATAACACTGAGTGAATGGGTGAAGGAAGTAATTAACTAACGTTCCTGTCCCATCATTCCTGGGATCACAAAGTCTTAGGAGGGAGGGTTGCCAGATTTAGCAAATCAAAATACAGGATAAGTTAAAGTTGAATTTCAGGTAAACAACGAATACGTTTTAGCATAAAATGTGTGTCTCATGAAATATTCACGACGTATTTATGCTAAAACGTATTCGTTGTTTACCTGAAATTCATATTTAACTGGGTATCCTATATTTCTATCTGGCACCCCTACTTGGGGGCAAGGGTTCCCCCAGGCGCCTGGCTTCCCCCGCAGCAGGTTCTCAACATCTGTGTAATTGTTAGAGTGAAAACCAAACCAGCCCCGCCGCGTCCACAGCTGCACCCGTAAGGGGGCGGAGCCACGCGGAGAAGAAACACAAACACCCCAATTGGAGACCTCACTAGAGATTGGCCTAAGAGGGAGGCTGGCCCACCCGGTGGGCTCTCCAAACCCCTTGACAGGCCCCGTCATCCCCCGCCCGAATCACCAGCCCCACACTCTATCTCGTGACCCGTCGTCATGGACCCGGGGGGCAGGACTGCCCGGCTCTTCAATCGCTGCCTACCATTGGCAGGGCTTGCCATCCATCGCGTTAGGCTACGCCCATTAGGCTGACGTTTCCCAGGCTACGTCTCTCCCGCAGGCCGCGGCGTAGCTGGCGATTGGTAGAGAAGGCGGCAGCTGCCCCAGCTAGGCGACGACGGGGTGGGCTCAGGGAGTCAGGACGTGCCCGAGAGTGTCACCTCTCGCGCTGCGGTGGTCGCTCGCGTCCCGCGAGGTTGTTCGGTGTCTCCCTGCACTGCTGCGGCCGCCGCGGAACTATGGCTGTGCTCCTTATGCTCCTGCCCTTGTTGGTGGCGGGTGAGAACCCGGAGGGCGGGCGGGGCGCACTCCGAGAGGCCGTGAGCCGCGGGGCTGGTGGGTCGGGGGCGACCGCGGGTGGGCTGCAGCGGGGCGGTGTCGCAGTGCGGGCAACCAGCCTTGGCCTCGCCCCAGCCGCCTCCCTCTCGGCCTTATCTGCGGGCAGACCTGTGGCGGCGCGGCCTGCGGGGCTGGGCTGCGTGGGGGCCACCTGAGCTGGCCTCCACCCTCCGCCCCTTTGAGGAAGGCGCGTCCACAGGTCATGCCACCGTCCTCCGGTCAATCCGACCTCTTCCAGCTCGGGCGGCACGGAGATGCATTTCTCAATTAACCGCTGAAGCGTCGCCCTCTGCGAAGAAGGGAAACTAGACTTCTTAGCTGCCACCAGCTGCTGTGTTTTTTTGCATTTTCTGAGTGTCTTCGTTTCTGACGGTTGTCATCAGTAACTGGTGAAGTCCCCTCCTCCCTCATATGTTTCAGGATATAAAAGTTGGAGGTGGAGTAATTGTTGTATGATTATTTCTAAAGGTGAATTCGAAGTACCTCTCAATAGTCATAGTTCCCAATTTTAAGGATTTGGAAACTAAGATGTGAGTCATGTTTGTCCGGTCACGTGTTAAATAAATGGTAGCTTGCTCAGTGGAACCTAAGTTTCCTAGTATTCAGCGAGGGGAGTGCAAGGCAGCTAATATTTGGCCTTTTACTGTGTATCATGTCATTTAATTTTACAGCAGTTCTTAGAAGAGAGTATCACCCTCCTTTACAGAGTGATCAAGCCTAAATAACACATGCGTAGTAAGCAGCAAAGTTAGTCTGAACCCAGATAAGCTGGCTCCAAAGCATGGGCATTTTCCAGTGTGTGTGGGGGGGTGGGGGGCACAGGTCATGAAAACGCTACTACAGTGTGAGAATATGGGAATGGGGGCTGGGATCCGGTACTGGCAAAGGCCACCAAGAGACCAAGTTGAGAACAACTTGGAGGAATGGGGACTGTATTCCCCAGGGTCTCAGTGTAAAACCTATAGGTTAAAAATCTTTAGGAGGCCTGTGTATCCGCTCTGTGAGGCTCTGGGAGCACCCACTTTTGGAATGGTGGTTTAATTCTGTGAGGGGGTATAGACCACTGACCTTGAAATCTGCAGATTTTCTCCATCCCTGGAGGAGCCCAGAGTTGTGTGTTGATGATCCTTCACTTACTTTCATGCCTCCAAGTTGTAGGGTTGTTTTGTCCCTTTCATTTCTGTTTCTGGCTCTGGAGAGGTCATTCTGAGCTATCTAGTAAGTTACTTTGGGGAAATTTTCTAATTTAATTTTTTAAGTTCAGTTTTTAGAATTTAGAAATCTTCCCTTTGATTCCATCACTTAACTAAACATCTGTTGAAATTCCATGTTTTGATGCTATGACTGGTATTATTTTGGTTTAGGGTTTTTTGTTTGTTTTTGGTCTGAGGTCTAATTGCTTTTGCACATCGTTTGAATCTGTTTTACTCTAGGATAGTCTAGTTCATACAGGCCAAGAATCTGATCCTGTTAACTTCTGCATTGCTTGCTTTTGTCAGATGAGGCTAAATTACTGTTCTCCACAATGACTAAATGTAATTTACTGGGAAACATCTTTAAGAGATCTGACTTCTCAATTGGAGGAAAAAACATAAGTCCTTTAAAGCAGTATTACTAACTTAGAGAGAGACTAGAGGAAGGGAACCAGGTTTATGAATACCATGTCATGAAGAATATTGGAAAAAATTCAGATGTTTAGCCTGGAGGGAAGAGGCCAATGGCAGACACATGAAATTTGAAGAGATGTCATGTATACATCCCTCGATTTGCTCACTGATGCCTCAGAGGTCAACAGTAGGACCTACTTTTCACTTCTTGATTCTATCCACCATTCATTGATCACTGCATAGTGTGGTGGCTGTCCCCAAAGGGAAGGATACTTACCATCCAGCCTACACTGAGGAGGCTGAGGGAAATTTCCCTGGTTGGGGTGGGTGGTTGGAGGGGGGGAAGAAAAGGCATTTTAGACAGAATAGCATGTGCAAAAGCACAAAGGTGTGAGTGCAAAAGAGCAGATCGTTTGGTGGGACCAGGATGTATAGAGGTTAAGCTGGGGAGACCATAGAAGTAATGTTGGTGAGGTGCCTTGTATGTTATGTTCTGGGTTTTTGTCTCAGAGGCTTTGGGCAGTGAGTGAAGATGATTACACTGCTGAGTGGATGAACAGACCTGTATTTTGAAAAGGTGATAGGAAGGCTGATGGATTGGAGAGCAGCATGACCAGTCATAAAGAAGCCAGTTCTAGCAAACCTGGGGAGGACCTGAAGAGTGTGCACTGGACATGGAGGGGAAGGATTCGTGAGAAAATAAGAAAAAAAGAAAAAATGATCGACAGAATTCAGTGGTTGATTAACTGTGGTGCTGAGGATTTAAAGACGACCAGTTGGAGCAGCTGGTAGGTGGTGGTATCATCTAACAGAGAATACAGGAGGAGCCTGTGGAAAGATAGTGAATTCTGAAAATGTTGAACCATAAGACTTAGAAGGAAAATGCTCAGTTGGCTTTTGGGTCTAAGGCTCAGGGGAAGTCTAGGCTGAAAATAAACATCCAGGAGCCATCACTGTTCTTGGTGTTTGTGACCATAGGAGTAGATGGGCTCAGCCAGGGACAAGGATGCAGAGTAGGAAAGCTGTAAGGGTCAGGAAAGGAGCCTTCAGCCCTCCAAAGTGGAGTATGCCAGGTGATCTCTTGGGATGCCAGAAGAATATACTAGAACTTCTATTTATATCTACTTTCTTTGTCATCTTTTTTTGAATAGTAATGGTCAGATAGTTTGAAGAATGTCTGTCAATCTGTGTTTGATATTTTCCTGTGATTAACTTGGGAAGAATACGTAGGTATCCCATCCTTCTTTAAAATTTCTATTTATGTGTGCTTTGAAATATATTACAATTATATAATCTATTATACTATAAGTGTATGCTTTTATAAATGTATATTGGGGTATGCTACTTTCAAATTTTGTACTGAAAGGGTTGAACTCTAAAAAGTTTGGGTGACACCACTTTAAATGACAGAAAGGGAAGGAAACTGAGGTGAAGCAGCCAGAGGAAAACCAGGGGTGCTGGCATCATGAGGGCCAAGGCAGGACATTTTTAAGGAGGTAGTTGCCAGTATCAGGTGCTTTGGGATGTTAAATAAAGGAAGGGCTGAAGATTGTCCTTTGGATCTGGTGAATAGTTTCAGTGGTGTGGTGGGGTTAGAAGCTGGGGGTTAAGTAGTAACTGTGAGTTGGAGTAGAAGCAGTGGGTGGCTACCAGGAGTCTTCTACTGAAGGAAAGCATTGGCTGGTAGAGGCTGTATGACCAAAGGAGGTTTTTTTTGTGGTTTCAATTTTAGAACAGGAGCACCCTAAGTGTATTTTTGTGCTGAAGTGAAAGAGCCAGTTAAGAGGGGGACATTGGTACTACATAAGGTGTGGCTTCCTTCATTCACTAACTCAACAGGTGTTTATTGAGCACCAATATGTCAGGCACTGTTCTCAGCCCTAGGGATATGGAAGTCCCTGGCTTCATGGATCTTATATTCTACAGGGCCAGCTTTTTATGCCTATAGCCATATAGCCCCTTAACTCCTGATATGTTTTCTGTCCCAGAACAGTGGCTTAATAAACATTGAATGAATACTTCAGCAGGTGAATGAATGAAGGTCCCTAAGAAGGCTGAACCATAGGATTATTTTAGACTGGAGGAAGAACATCTCTGCCCTCCTCTGGAGGGAGAGGAGATAAGGATAGGGGCTTGTGGAGATAAATTTGTGGTGGGGAGAGGAAGCTGGTAGCAGGAGGAATTCCTCTGCTTTCTCTTGAAGCTGGAGATGAGGTTATCTGGTGAGACTGAGTCAGGAGTGATAATACAGGACTCTGAACAAAACTGGGAAGCCCATTTCAGTTCAGTATGAGGAAAAGCTTCGAAGGATTAGAATGTCGGGACAGTGGAGATGATTGCTGGCAGGTGTGATGTTGGCAAGTTGTGGTAGTGGTGCCCTTCAGGTATGGGATGGGCGACCTTGTCAGCCATCCCGGAGATGTCTGTTAAGCAGCGGTTTCTTGGTGTAGGAGAACATGATTGTGAGGTTTCCTATAGCTCCAGGCTCCTAAAGGGCTGTCGTGCAGGCACAGAAATGGAATGTAACTACAGAGTTGAGGCAGACTAATTTAATTTATAGCTTTCTGTGCTGGGGTTGAGTGAGTAGGGCCGGTCTCAAGATGGGGCTATCTCTAGATCCAAATACGGTTCTTTAAATGTGCACAGTACTTGGGAAGTATAGGTCTCTTGCTGCCCCGTTTTCCTTAGAGTTGGCAATAACTACTACTTTAGTGAACCAGGATGTCTATCAGTTACAAATGGCCAGTCCATTCTGCTAAGATTTTTTTGTCTGCCTTTGGCTAGAACAATTGGGAAATTCCTGCTCTGGTGGCTATGTTGAATTGAAACTCATAACTCTTCATGTTGTATCAGCACCATCCTGAGGCCTTTTATTTACAGTCAATACTGCAACACCAAAACATTTACTTCCAACTTTATTCCCATACCTGTAAGTGATACTTTCCTTAGGTCAAGAAAATAACAGTGATGCTTTATTAAAGTCTAATTTTCCCATCATAGGGAGGCATGGCCAAGATTTGTTTTGGACTTGTCGCTAATCTTTTCATAGGACTCTGAAAGTTTCCATTAGCTATTTGTCTTTTGTAAGCTAGACATCACTGGGTTAACACATCATGGCTGAAGAGGCCAAATACCTCATCCTCAGCCTTGGAGGGCTTACAAAACAGTTACTTTCATCTCCTCCTTCCCCTTGTAACCCCAGGCTCCATACCCCTAGACTAGTTGCATTATTCTTACAAAATACCTTTTCCAGGCCTCTTGTTATATCTATTGGAAATACTGTTTCCTGGATTTTTTTTCTAAAGTCTAAAGTGTTTTATATTCTGACTGGTAACATGGGCCCCGTCCCCCCATTCGACAGTCCTCATTTCACTAGGTTTGCCTATGGGATGTCAGGAAAGATATGCTCTCTCCCTTTTTTTTTAATTGAGATATAATTGACATACAACATTATTTTGGTTTCAGGTAGACAGCATCATAGATTCAGTATTTGTAAACATTGCAAAATGGTCATTACAACAAGGCTAGTTAACATCATCACCATATGTAGTTATACAAATCTTTTTATTTGTGATGAGAACTTTTAAGATCTCTGTTAGAAACTTTCAAATATGTGATACCAGTATTATTAAGGGACAAGAGCTTCTATATAGCTGTGAACAAGTTAGGATGACACACTTTTTTAAACTTGATTCTAGTGGAATAATGATTGTCATTATTCTCAAATGATGGGATTTTTAAGAATGATAGTTTACTTAAATGTATTTGTCAAAATGTAATTGGCCTGCCAAGTTTATATGTTTAATGTTCATCATCAATAATTAAAATGATGATAAATTAGGGTTTCTCATGCTTACCTTTTGAGGGTTTTTTTTGGATAGTATATAAGGACTATGGCAAAAAGCACTATAAAAATAGTAATAAACAGGAAAAAATCATACTAAATACTCATCTACTCGAAAATTTGCATTCACAAATAGCATATAAGAATGTGAACATGCTAATCTCACACAGATGGAAGAATTTATTCTGTGTCTATTTGGACATTTTTAAAAAGTTTTCTGAGTGACTACATGCCCAATGCGTGTTAAAAAGTTTTAAAATGGAGGCTGTTATTGCTGTTTTAGAACATTTTGAACAAGCAAAAAGTTGAGTCAAAAGCTGAGCTTCCAAAGCAGATGCTCCATTTATTGAATTTCCAATAATAAATTTCACCTTTTGAGTTGAGAAAAAAATAACATTGTTTTTCTTTACCGGTGGCTTTTTGCAAATTATACAAATGAACAAACCATTTCTAACTTGAGGGATGCTCTACTGTCATAAATGAAAAGTACACAACTTCATTTTAGAATACTCATTATAATCTCTACTGATAACTCCATTCTCTGGTCCACTAGCACTATTCTTTACTCCAAGAAGGAAAAAATGAAACAATATATATTTAGCAGATGGTGTCTTGCTCTCTCCCTTTTAAGATAGGCTAACCTGCTACACTTTTAGAGTGAAATACTAGGAATTTTATGAATTTGCATTTTGAAGAGAGGGTCGATGGTAGAGACAATTTAGAGATTTTAGGTTTCTTTTTTTCCTTTTTAGTCTGTGCCAGGGTTTTGGGTTTTTGCTTTTTAAATTCTGGAGAAGTGCCATTTCTAATTCTTGCCAAATTGCCACATGCCCCCATGTAAGGACTGTCCATAGGAAGGTGTCTAGATCATTAGGGTGATCCTGTGTCGTGGCTGTCCCTTTGTTACAGCAGAACATACGGATTTAAGTTCTTAGGGTGATACTTTGAAGAAGAATTGTTGATGTTTAGGATTTAACATTTTGTCCAATAATATTTAGTGTGCTAGGTCAGTGGAGAGTGGAGAAACATTTTGCATTTAATAATTCTCAACATGAGTTCAAAAGATTTATGATGCTGATCATTCATTTACTAATCTGTTTTCTTCTCAGGTGCTTTGGGAAATGAGTTTAGTATATTAAGATCACCAGGATCTGTTGTTTTCCGAAATGGAAATTGGCCTATACCAGGAGAGCGCATCCCAGATGTGGCTGCTTTGTCCATGGGCTTCTCTGTGAAAGAAGTATGTGTATTTTTTTTTTTAATTTGGAGCTACTTTTTAAAGCATTTTTGTTGATTTCTGCTAATAGCCTAAGAAAGCAACAGGTAAACGTAGGTATATTTGGTACAGATTACAAAAGTTACAGAAGCTCATTTGTGGTAAGGAGATTGGAATAAGTGTTTCAAGCTTGGCTTATGAAACCAAATCATTATAAATCATTAGCCATGTAATAGATTATTCATAGTAGTGATATTCTTTGTATTACAAGAGAATGCATCTGCCCTGCTATTAATAGGATGTATAACTTTATTTTTTCAGTACTCCTGATAGATTTGTGTCTTAGTTTAGGTTGCTCTAACAATGTACCATAGACTAGGTGGTTTATAAACAACAGAAATTTACTTCTTACAGTTCTGGAGGCTGGAAGTCCAAGATCAGGGTGTCAGCATGGTCAGGTTCTAGTGAGAGTCCTCCTCCAGATAGTAGCCCACTGACTTCTTGTTGTATCCTGGCATGGTGGAGAGAGGGTGAGAGCTCTGGGGTCCCTTTTATAATTATCTCCCAAAGGCCCCATCTCCTAATACCATCACTTTGGGGGGTTAATTGGTGGGGGACACAAATGTTGAGTCCATTGCAGTTTGTTATGAATGATCAAATGTATATGTTCATTTTACTGCCTTTAGGAAAATAGTGTGGTCACTAACTGTGGAGTAGCCTAGGACCTTGGTTTCCCACAATTAAGCCATAACTGTTGTAGTAGCTGGCTGCTTATGTGATGTAGTGGAGGGGGCCTTGATGCAGTCACTATGAGCAATCTGAAGTTAAGGACTAGAGGAAAGGAGGTGTGGTTTGCTCTGTCTTCCTATCATTATCTCCTCCCACTTTATAAGTTTGGGGCTTTTGACGTGGTCTCTAGATATCATCAGCACTCAAAGGAACTTTCCTCCTAGCTCCTGATTGCCCTTAGAACCAGAAGCAATGTATGGGAACTGCTTCTCTGCTGGGCCCATGGGTCTAGCCCCTGAGCTCCTTGTGGGAACATGACTGGGTGTTCACACTTAAGGATGAAATTTTTACCTGATTCTTTATAAACTTAAATTTGACTACAAAGGGCTGTCACAATAACCTTTAGAAATTATTAATAAATTAAGATGAGTTCCTTTCAGCAGGAATTTTATTTATAAAGAGCATGCTTAGTCTTAAAAGAATGTTTTAATGACAGTCTTGCTATGTCATTATGAAAGAGAAATAGAAGGATAAGTGATGCAGTAGATAAGGGCAAGCAGTGATGTGGGGAAAGAAAATGTCCATGATTACATGAAGAAGAGAATATAATCTGGAATTTGAAAAGTACCTATATTTTTACTTCCCCGTTTTTTTCCACAAAAGATTTGGGATGATTTTTTATACTTTATTTTTTCAAGTCTGTTGAAGTTTAAGAAAATGAAGAAGGTAGAAATCAGCATCCTCAACTAGGAGATTGCAGCTACTACTGCCTTTAGTATGTTTGCACTCCCTGTGAATTTTCATTGCCAGTGTCATCCCAGAGCCCCTTAACTCTGCTTCTTGGATGTTATTGGGGAAACAGTTTCCTGAGTTGATAAGTAAGCACCACTTCATACTTGTCAATGTTTAGGATCTTCCTTGGCCGGGACTTGCAGTGGGTAACCTCTTCCATCGTCCTCGGGCCACCGTTATGGTGCTGGTGAAGGGAGTGGACAAACTCACTCTACCCCCAGGCAATGTCATTTCGTACCCTTTGGAGAATGTGAGTATTTATTTTAAAAAATTAAAGGGATGAATTTTTAATTTTGTCTTGTAAGCTGTCATTATGAATTGTGTTCTAAGCACACTTCTCTTGTCTTTACATTTTCTTGGGCACTATCTTTGTGACCTTCCCTTCCAAATTTTACCTCATTTTTGCATAAGGAGGAGACTGGAGGCAATTTTGTTGACTCACTGATTCTTTCCTTGGCCTTTCAGGCCATATAGCTGACTGAGCTGTTGTGAGAGGCCTGCCTTCTACTGCAAGCATCTAGAAGTTACCAGAATATTTTTACATGTATGACTAAACTTGGAAGCAAGGAAAGGATACACACAGGTGCCAAATACATATAGAAAACTCAAAAGCCACAGTGGTGAGCAGGAGCTAAAGCTGGAATTGTGTTCCCTGAAGAAAGCCAGGGGCTGTAAAATGCCGTCTTGTTCTTGAAAGGGGGGCTAGTAAAACCCCAGCTGCTCCAGGGCTACAGAGGAGCTGGCTTACTGCCCCTGGCTGTGGGGCCCAGAGTCTTGTAAGAGAAATCAGAACTACAGGCTTTTGGTGTGCTCCAAATTCACATGACTCACCTTATACAGACTCCACCACAGCCCAGGGCTCCTTTGGTATAAAAAAAAAAATTGAAGATGAGTCAAATTTACAAAGCACCTGAAGGAAAAAATGCTATGAGTCAGCAGGTGCAACAAACAGAATTCATCCCCCGAGAACCTACAGGTAAGAGACCAGTCTCACAAAATTTGAAAATACATTAAAATTGTGAAAGAGTTAAAGTAAGGGATGGAAACTATGAGGAAGTTGAAGACATTTTTGATAATGTGGTGCTTTCATTGATACTTCTAAATACTTCATAATTTATATTGTAATTTCTTTAACCCATGAGTTATTTAGAAGTGTTTAATGCATGAGTTCTTCTTAAATAATTTTTAATATTTCAATTTCTAATTTCATTGCCTTGTAAGACCAGTCTGTATGATGATTTGGGGGGAATTTTTTCAGACTTTGCTGTGGTCTAGTATAGATTATTTACAAGCACACATGACATGCTTACAAAAAATTGACCATGTACTAGGCCAGAAGGCAAATGTTAACAAATAATAAAGAATCAGTGTCATATAAACCACCCTGTCTGAGTACAGTACAGTTAAATCTGAAAACAATAACAAAATGATAACCTTAAAAGTATGTTTGGAGGGGTAGGGGGATGGGCAAAATAGGTGAGGGGGATTCAGAGGTACTGCTAGTCATAAATAAGTCACTGGGATGTACATACAGTACAGTATAATAGGGAATATAGTCAGTAATATTGTAATAAACTTGTATGGTGAAAGTTGGTAACTAGACTTAGTATAGTGAGCATTTTGTAAGATATATATAAATGTTGAATGACTTGTACACACCTGAAACTAATAAAACATATGTCAACTATACATCCATAAAAATAAGTATGTATGTATTTGGAAATGATAAAAACAAACAAAAGATAGGACTCCTCAGGCTTAAAGCAGACCTAGACATGGTGAAAATGAAGAACCATCAAGGACACTGAAAATCTTAAAAGCTATCAGAGAAAAGACATTGTCATTACAAAGGAATGAGAGTAGAATGATAGCAGATTTCTCATCATTGCCATTAGGTACCAGAAAAGCAAGAAGGGAAAAGCAGCGATGCATAGAATATTGTTTCTGTAGTCATAATAAGGAAGTGATATGAATCTGATGAAAATTAGGGTATAACTACTGGGAGGGTGGAGAGAGAGAAACAGAGTGTTATGTGGGCAGGAGCTGGGGTTGTGGTTGGTGATGTGGGAGAGCTAAACCCTAATTTTCTATAACAGGTGATAAATTGATAATGCCTAAAATTGAAAAATTAAGATGTAGTAATGGAAAAATTATTTAGAGATGATAGGAAAAGGAAAGAGAATTTGCAAGTGAGGGCCTCAGAGGAATGGGAAATGAGGGGAGGGAGGGGCAAACTTACTTTTTATAAAAAGTCTTATAAAAAGAATTATTTGTCTCTTTAAACCATGTGTGTCTATCTCTTTTTTCCTATATAACTCTTGAAAAAATTATTTAAGTCAATAAGAAAAGATAATTAAAATAGATGTACTCTTAAATAACTCATGGGTTGAGGAGAAAATCACAGTGGAAATTTTGAAATTATTTGGAACTGAATGTCAGTGAATGTACCATATATAAATAAAATTGTGGGTGCAGCTACAGTGGTAAGAAAAGGAAAATTTATAGCCTTAACTGCACATATTAGACAATTTAAAATACTGGAAATTAATGAGCTAAAAAAGCCCAAAGAATTTCAGAGTAAATGGGAGGAAGGGCAAATAAAAATCAAAAGGCAGATTAAAAGAATTTTTTAAGCTTCTCAGGGATTATTTATTAAATATGTGATTATGTGATTTCTATGAAAATCATTGTGGAAGATCCCTTTAAAATAAGTATATATAAAAATCCAAAGTGCATTTAAGATTTTTCATTAGCATACAATCCAAAACTAAACATTTAAAAAAGACCAGCTTCATTTTACATATGAGACTGAAAAAAGCTCTTGTTACTGCTTGACCCTGATTGACTGCTCCTAATACTTTTTCTGGTAGTAGGTGGTGAATGAGACATAAGACTCAAAGGCCAAAAACCCACAGAATGTAAAAAAAAAGTAGTATGTCTTATAAGACCCCCCCCAATGAGGCTTCTCTTTGATTAGCTGTTTTCATTAGCATTTCAAGTCATATAGATACAGAAATTCCATTTCCTCCAGGACAAACATGCATGTCCTTATAATGCTGTGGAAGAAACCAATCAGATTTTAAGCAGCTGTGCTTTTCCTTTTTTGAGTTTAGAAGTCTATATACTATTTTCTTTGCTTTCACAGTTTGGTGCTTTTGGATTCAATAGCTTCTCCAATTTGATTGCTAGGGATGTGTTACCTTTAGTCTTCAACTTTCCTGACACAGTGCCCTTTCACCTGGTGAAATTAGGCGGGAGAGCTTGTTACCTGCTCTCAAATTCCCTCCAAAGCCGGAGGCGGCAAATTGAGTGATGGCAAATGGAGGGGGCACTTGTGGCTGACTCGGGCCCTGTAACACGATGCTTTTGCAAACTTGAACTCTCTTCCCCCTTCAGCTACGCATTATTTTAAGAGAATTTTGCAAAGAGTTGATCCATATCTTGAATAAGAAAGACAATTGCATTTCACAGTATCATGAAATTGATAAACTTACTTTTGATGCTGGGATTTCATCAGTAAGAGTTATTACTCACATTTATTTCTGCCTGTACCATGTTAGCATTAATGTGCTACTTATAATGTGAACCTTTTAATGGTAAAGGGAATTACTGAAAAAAAAATCACTGTAGAAATCTCCATTAAAACAAAAACACTACTAGAATACTGCTTGTTTTAATACAGTAATGTTTAAAATAAAACGATGTTTTGAAAGGAAGAGTTACCATAATTTATTTTTTAAAATAATATGGGGCAAAAATAGATGTATAGGGGTAGAAGTCAGACTTTTGATTACCCTTGGGGATGGAGGGAGTGGGTAGGGAGCCTTTAGGGTGCTAATAATGTTCTGTCTTGATCTGGTTGGGTTATAGGAGCATATCCATTTGCAAATATTCCTTGAGCTATTACCCCAAGATTTGTGCATTGTACTATGTTACACTTTAATAAAAAATAAAGGAAAAGGTAGATTTAACCATAATTGGTTATTTCAGTTTAATAATACCATCATGTAGTCCCAAGATAAAGGCTGCAAAATTCTTGTGACATTACTTGCTGCCTTATCTAAGACTTCAGTCTATCTGAAGACAAACCCTAAATCTTATCAAACATTTTTAAAATTTTGAAATGAAAAATGAGGTCTGTTTTTCCTTCAGTTAAATTCAGTTCTTTAAATTCTTCTGACCTCCTCCTAAATGCAAGTTAATTCTTTCTTGTAGCATATACATTCATTGTGGCATGTTTAATCAATATTGAAACCAAATGTATTGCTCCTTAAAAGTATATGAGTGACCGCCAGAAAATGGTGGTTTGTGCAAGATACTGTTGTGTTCCTCATATTTGCAAGTTAGTTTCCATTTAGGCACACTGGGAGGTTAAAACTCCTTGGCCCACTAAGGGGCTGTTGAATCTTCCCTGCCCTCAAAAGGGCTTGTGCTTGGATATTATTTGGGGCTTCTGATTTTCCATAGAAAAATGCTGGTGTCTTTAGGCTCTTTTATAAAAAAAAAAAATGATCTGAATGATTTTTCTTCCCACTTTGGTTCAGATAATAATTAAAGTTTTACTCTTAAATTTCAGGCAGTTCCTTTTAGTCTTGACAGCATTGCAAATTCCATTCACTCCTTATTTTCTGAAGAAACTCCTGTAGTTTTGCAGCTGGCTCCCAGTGAGGAAGTAAGTGGTACAGTTTTTATTTAAGATACTTTAAAATATAAGTTTTAGTTATTTAATGGCAATTTAAAACAAATTTTGTGAAAAATGTTGTCAGACCTCTATATTGGAATTAATCTGTAGAGGGAGTAACAAAATTCTGGATTGTTCTTTCAGAGAGTGTATATGGTCGGGAAGGCAAACTCAGTTTTTGAAGATCTCTCAGTAACATTAAGACAGCTCCGCAATCGCCTGTTTCAAGAAAACTCTGTTCTCAATTCACTTCCTGTCAATTCTCTGAGCAGGAACAATGAAGTAAGTAGTACAGTTAATGAATGAAGAAATGAATGTCATTACTAATCTCCCATTTCTTATGCTCCTGACTTTAGAGCAAACTTGAAATTTTAGAAAATGGTAAGTTTTACAAATTTACTGCCTGGAGTAGATCTCTTTCTTTCCTCTAGTGTAGTTTTTTCATGAATCTCAGGAATAAACTGACTCTTTTTATGAGATGAGCTGTGGTAAACAGTATTACATTGTAGTGTAAGGGTTGTCACCAGTTAATTCAGACAGGCCAGAAATCACAGTAACTCCTCAGTGGGTTGGTGGAGCTGTGTCGATCTGGTCCTGTGAGAGCCATTATCCACTGCCACTTCTGATGTGGTACCTCATTTTTCTAATTCATTCTCGACAGAACAGTGGAGGGAGCCACCTCTACTTTAGACTTCTGTCAGCTTTACTGCCTGCTTGTGTATCCTCTTAGCCACATGGCATGCCACCTTTGTGGCAGCCTTCCCTCTTGACCTAACTACAATGACTGGGACCACCATCCTCTATTCTCTGACATAGAATATGTTGAAGGGATGTGAGCAAACGGGGCCATTGGCAGGACCTCATTGCAGTGCGCCAGAATATTGTGATTCCAAGGGAAAACCACTTTAGAGCTTGGATGCTTTATCAGTTTTATGAAAAATAGAGCTATTGAGTGGTAGTCATTGTGCTGGGGAATGACTGTCACCTTTTTGTTAGGAAATAATGTTTATATGCATTTTCAATTAAAATGAACCTACCAAGTGGAGGACAATTGTTGAATAAATTAACTTATGTGCGTAACATTTGTAATGTAATGTCCTATGCCTTGATAAATGGCAATACACACCTCAGAAGCTTCATTTAAGTGATACTCATTTCTTTCTGCTCTCTGCAGGTTGATCTGCTCTTTCTTTCTGAACTGCAGGTGCTACATGATATTTCAAGTTTGGTAAGTAGGCTACTCTTATAGTTCCACTTATTTTGGTTCCAAAAGACATTTCTAGAGAATCCTGAAAGATAGTGAAAACAACTGAAAAGTTTGATTAAGTATGCTCTGGATTCATGATCCCATGGAGGCTGAGAAATTAGTGGTGGTGTTGGGCATTTTGAACTCATCTCATTTTACAGTCAGTCAAATTACTTTTCATTTCTGCTTTTAGGAGAGACAGTAAGTATATCCTCCAAGAACACAGGCCTGGGAGTAAGGCCATCCTGGCTATAGTCCTGACTTGGTTGTTGATTTCTTGCCAGACATTAAAACTTAATTTTATGTCTCTATCTTTGGATCTAAAATAGAAATAATAGTTTGGTCTAATAGTGCTGTCAGCCAAGTTAGGAAGGAATAAATATGCCTGCAGTGTATTCTTTTTCTTGGAGAATGATTTTTTAAAAAACCTCTCCTGTGACTGAAATAGAAAAACTTACCTGTGTGCTACCTTCTGAAGCTATTACCTAAACTTTTTCAGCAGGGTTGGTTTGGGAGTCTGGAAGTGTAGTCCCAGGGGGTGGCCAGGTGGTCTGGGAGGGCATATGGGAGGTACCTGCTCTCTGAGCACTGATGGCTCATGCTTTCCTAGGGTCAAACTCTTCCAACTGTCTGTTCTTTTACACCCTGGTCTATATATGTAGTTTTAAAACTAAGGCATTTTTAAGAGAGTTTTCATTAAATATTCAGTTTTGTAACTGCTCCTGAAAATGAGATTTGTATTGGAGGTATCAGAAACTCTCATTTAAACCAGTCCCATTTGCCACCATTTTAGACTATTTGTAAATTGTGGTGTATTGGTCTGGTTGTTTTCAGCCTGCGTGATTTAGGTATAAAACTTCAACTGGCTGTGTTTGACATTACTTTGTCTACATCTTTTTGTTTGTTCTCCTAAGTTGTCTCGACATAAGCATCTAGCCAAAGATCATTCTCCTGACTTATATTCGCTGGAGCTGGCAGGTTTGGATGAAATTGGGAAACATTATGGGGAAGACTCTGAACAATTCAGAGATGCTTCTAAGATCCTTGTTGATGCTCTGCAGAAGGTAAATTATCAATGGGGTATGAGAGGTCAGAGTATGACCATTTTACCTTTAGCCCGTTAATGGAAAAATCTGCTTAGTGAAATACTATTGAAATATTTCCTTCTTTGGAGAACCTCTAATTTTAGTGACCAAGGGTAGAGTAAGTCAAAGGTGTATGTTGGGACATCTCTATCTCATGCTGGCAGAAGTAGCATAGGAAATGACCAGTAATTCCAGCACAATACTTTTTCCTTTTTTTTATTGTGATAAAAATATACATAAAATTTACCATCTTAACCATTTTTTAGTATACAGTTCTATGGCGTTAAGTACATTCACATTGTTTTGCAACTGTCACCACCATCCATTGTCAAAACTTTAATCTTCCCTAAACTGAAACTCTGTCCCTATTAAACCTATGAAATAATCCAAGGAGAACACTTAGCACAGTACCAGTCATTGAGTTGATACATAATAAATGCTAGTTTTCCTCTGCCTTTTAAGTTATTCACCTGAAAATCTTCAGTGAGGCTTCATAGTTAAATCTTTGTTGATATTTGTGATTAACCAGAGACCACTTAGGAAGATTTCATTCCTAAATTCCCTGCCCCCAATTTGCCAACACATTTAGTCTCTTAATTTTATTTTGGAGCATTGAATATATGTTGAAGATAAATACTTTTCTATTTTAACATAATCACAACCTTTGAGACTTGCGTATCTTAAGACACAGTGTATTTCATGAGCCAATAGGTAAGTTTATGTTCTTTTGGGTGCACAGCAGCTTTACAAATAATTTTGAAAAATATGTATTTGAGATTCATAGTAATGTCAGTAACTCTTCAGTTTGCAGATGACATGTACAACCTTTATGGTGGGAATGCAGTGGTAGAGTTAGTGACTGTCAGATCATTCGACACATCCCTTGTAAGGAAGACAAGGACTATCCTTGAGGCAAAATTGGAGGTGAGTATACTTTTAGACCCTGCTGTAAAATTATAAAGTTAGCTTTTAAAAAAACCCACTAAGTCCTGTATCATTTATGGGCAGCCAGTAATTCTGAAAAACAAATATCAAAACACAGGTTTCTTATTCACAGGTATAGGTATGTGTGTTTTGCCAGTGAGGCTCAGTTCTTTCAGGTTGTAATTAGATAATGCAAGAATTTGAGTTAGGAATAAAAGTAACTGTCAAAACCAATAAGATAATTCAAATATTGCTATGCCAAAGAGATGTGAGAAGTTAATGCGGAGGACTGCTTTTCCAGGAGGTACATTGTGTGGCACAGTCCCTCCTTTTTCAGGAGCCACGTGCACAGTCTTTATAATTTGATTCTTCCATTTTCTGGTCTGGATCTTGCTTTGATTTTAAGCATTTAGAATGTCACAGGCAAGGATCCAGCCATAGTAAAACATGTGTGTGTACATGCACATAGAGAAGAGCAGTAGCATGGGTACTTGAACACGTTGTGTGGCCAAGAACATCATTTAAGGTTGGCTTCATTGCTTGGAGCAGTTAGTTACCCAGTCATTTGTAGGTACTCCCCTTTGGACGCATTTGCTGCCCCTACCCTGCTCAGGTTTTCTGATCGCAGTGTGGAACTTAGAGCAAGATGGTCAAAGGTAATGCCTGCTCAAGATACCCTAGACCTGGTGGGTTGAGATTACCTCGTTCTAAATTGGAGTAGAAGGACCTGTTGAACACAGTGACAGTATGGCAGGCTACACAGCCTGGAAATTTTTCTCACTGTAGAGCATCTGGAAATGCTGGATAAAAAATAAACCTCTCTTTGAGTGCATAGTTTAGTTCTCAAGAAAGTAAGGGAAATTCTTAAGGAGCAAATAAAGAGGAACTTGAAAACTGTAGTAAGCAGGCTGTCCTGGGGACATTCCCAGTTGGGTTACCTAGAGCCTGGAAACAAGGCCTTTGGTTCTCTGAACATGGTTGGTTGGGACTGATACCTCCCTCTAAAGCTGGGACCCTGGAAGGGCTGTGCCCGTAGGGGAGAAGGTAGATGAGAAAACAGCCTGCCCCCCAGACAGGTCACTTGGGCTCTGTGTAGTCGGTATCTGTTAAGGGTGGGAATGTCTTGTACAGAATTCTTAACCCCAGAATCATCTTTGTATAGGTTGGCACTCAAATTTATACTACCTACAAGTTCTAAGAAGCCCCAGTCCAAGAAAGTAACACAAACTGGTCCCAGGCTGGTGCAGCAGGAGTAAATGTAAAACCTCTCTGGCAGGACACACTCGCCCTATAAGCCATGATGGAGGCGGATCCTCAGAGCTACAGTCTCCCCAGTTGTGAACTGAGAACATTGTAAAACCGGTCTGCAATGTAGCTAAAGTGTTAATTAGAATTAGACCCCCCAAAACTTAAAGTAATAGAAAGTGGGTAATGGCTGTAAAGTAATGATTTAAACTGATTAAAGAAGTAAGACAGGAGTCAAATAACAAAAAAAAGAACAAGATACTTTTTTAAAGGGCAGATTTGAATTTAACAAGAGACCTTTTAAGTACTACATTCTTTTCACCATTGTCCATGTTAGGCCTGCTAGTTTTACGTGAAGTGATACCCAAGAGAAGTATAACAGTTTGAAGAAGGTACCCTTGTTTCGGAACTTTGATAAACAGTTTTGCAGAGGTGAATTCTCTGAGATATTAGGTAGAATTTATGAATCAGCCTCTTTAATGGATAAATTGAGTTTATTAAACAATAGCTTCTGAAATTATTGCATATGGTGAGGGGCAAAAATCAGGTGGTATCATTGGATTTTCTTTACCTGCAAGGTAGTGAAATAACATTTGACATATGGAATCTAAAATCTGAGATTTATTTTTTGTTAAACCTAATAGACTGAAACACTTCGAGATGGGAGGTTGGTACCAGGCATTCCTTGGAATCCCATCATGCCTGGACCTCCAGCCTCTTTAATCATTCTATGCGCAGTGTGTGCCCCTCACCTCTGTGCTAACAGGTTCGCCTACCTCACAGAGAAAGAGGCCTTCAGCTTGAAGCTTCTTTTTAGGGTGATGAGAATGTCCTAAATTAGATGGTGGTGAGGGCTGTGCATTCTGTAAAAATAATAAAATTTACTGAATCATATACTTAAAATGAGTGGGGAGAAAGAATCCATTTAACAAAAAAAAAAGAAAGAAAGAAAGAAAGAAAGAAAGAAATCTTCAAGGGTGAAATCCTTTAATGTTTGCCTTTTTCTCTAAGCTCCCCACAGGTCTGTGTACCCATCCTCTCCTCCAATTGAAATCACAGCCTTCCTTTAGTTTAGTTTAAGGAGAGTGTCCAGAGGTTCAGGAAACATTTGCATGCTCACAACATGCCGGGTGCTGGGGCTGTGGGGGTTACCTTCTCTTCTCCATCCTCACTGCCAGGCCCCTGGCCCTCCTTACTCCCACCCCACTAACTCATCTCCCTGCTTCCCAGCCTGATCTTCCCAGATCCATCCTACAGATGGTCATCAAGGTTTTCTTCTTAAGACAAACTTTGTCATGTCACCCACTTCCTGTTTGAAACTTGTCAGTTGCTTCTCAGTGCCCACAGGCTCAAGGACAGATTCTTCATAGCTTCTCTGCCTCTAGCTTCATCTTCTGCTATTTTTTTATTTTCTGTTCTCTAGCCAGAATGAACTAAGTTTCCCGAAATATGCCTTTGGCAGAGGGATTGCATTTCTCAGACAAGGCCTTTGCACAGGCCTGGACTCACCTCCACCCCACCTAGGACCAACAGGATGAAGATGTGGTTGACTGAACCATGTTTTGTTTTCCTCTTTAAAATGAAAAAAAAAATTTTTTAGTGGATTATACATAAGTATATAGCATATATGATACCACTTAATTTAAAAACTAAAAATAATTCTAGCACTAAATAACCGAAGAGAACACTTGTTCCTCTGAAGCTCTGTCTTAACCCTCTACTCTCCCCAGCTGGAGGTAACTGCTGTCCTGAATATTATGTTAATCATTCCCTTGCTTTTCTAAACTTAATGTTGTTTGGTTTTGCCTGCATTTGAGTTTTGTATAAATGGAATTACACTCTAAGGCATTTTTCTGTGTTCTCTGCTCGGCATTGTTCTTAAGAGCCACACCGGCTGCTAAACATGGCTGTAGTCTGGTTCGTTCACTGCTGTGTGTTCCACTGTACAAATGTGCCAGTTATCTGTTCTGCTGATGGATGTCCTTGTACATGTCTCTTGGTACACAAATACAAGTTTTCCCTAGGGTATAAACTTGCTGGATCACATGTTGTGCATATTTTCAACTTTATTGGTATCACCAGATTTTCTCACTCAGGTGCACCAGTTTATACTTCTACCGCCTGGGTGCCTGTCTTCTCCAGGAAGCCTCCCTTATTGGTTCCTCCCAGTATCAGCAGTTCTCACTGCCACTGTGAATAACTGTTACATAAATGAACCATAGCTACTAAGTGGGGATAATTTACTATCTTAACATTCTTTCCTCTTGATTTCCTTTTCTTTATTGTAGAAGAACCCGTCAAGTCCCTATAACCTTGCATATAAGTATAATTTTGAGTATTCAGTGGTTTTCAACTTGGTACTTTGGATAATGATCGCTTTGGCCTTGGCTGTGATTATCACCTCTTACAATATTTGGAACATGGATCCTGGATATGATAGCATCATTTACAGGATGACAAACCAGAAGATTCGAATGGATTGAACTTTCCTTATGCCAAACTTAGAAAAGGGGTTTGGAAATTGGCTGTTTTGTTAAAATAAATCTTTTAGTGTAAAGTACACTTTAAATTTATAAAGAAGAAAATTTTGTTCTCTATTTTGTGTGTGCCTGTGATGTTCTTTTAGAGTAACTTATAGTATTGATGTGAACTGATTCCTATGATACAGATTCTGTAATATGCTCAAATATTATGATATAACCATTTAATATGATTTCATTCCATTCAATATTTGGAAATATGCACTGAAATAAATGTAAAACACTTAGAATAGTTTGTGTTATTTATGTTGGGAAAATGCACTGAATTTTATTAGAAAACTTATGAATGCTTAACAACTTCCTTACATAGCACAGGTAAAAATGATATTTGGGCTGTTAGATAATATGAACCATTGTAAATGTCTTAATTTGATGTAAATATATGAAACAAAAGAAAAAAGTTTTTAACTTTCAGCAGCTCTAAACTATGAATGTGTTTATACAGTCATTTAGATTTGGAACTCATCTGACTGACAGACAGTAGCTGTTGAACCTCTTCTAAAAGTTTGGTAATCTGAATGGTCTAGTCTGGATATTAAAAATACTACACTGATGTAAGGGGAAACTAGCTTTGTGGAGTTAAAGATGCTTGTAATTACGCACACAAAAGCAAATATTTGGGGACATCTTGGGGCTTGAATATAAAATCTTTCTTTCAGTAACTTCTCTCCCTGTGTAAGTTACTATGGTTTGTGGTGCAGTGTTATTCTATAGAATATTAAGTGGAAGTACATGCTCCCTACTTTTCATGTGGAAGTGGACCAATGTCTATAAAGAGTGACAAATAAAGTCATTGATTCCAAATTTGTGTCATTTCAATACTAATATATTTTACATTGTAATAACTAGACAGGGTTTTATTTAATCAGAATTGGCTGTTTTGTTACACATGCTGTTTTTTTAACATTTGTTTATTCTCACTGCCTCCTGAGATTCTATACCAAGACAAGACATTTCAATGACCATTCTTGTTACTGAATTGATACAGAGTATGTGATAAACTCATACTAGACTTAAGTAGGAAAGGCTTAAATTTCCTTATAGCATTTTAAAAGGTGGATAAGCAACTGATAAGTCAGGATATGATGGACTAGATAAGGTAAAAGCTTAAAGGTTATTTCTTAAAAGACTTACATATTAAAATTTTAAATTTCATGATCACATAGCAAAATTATTTTGGTATGTGAGTTGTGCTGCTCTGCCCCCTAGGAACCTTACTCGGGTTACTATTAGCTGTTTCTACCTCTTTGGAAAGCTCACCAAATCACTTATAAGTAACATTGACATTGGCAGATTTGAGAAGATGGAATCTATTTAGTTGTGTTTTCTACCATTTAATGCAAGATATTCTTGACAATTACAGTGTTAAATATCCGTAAAGTGGAATAAATTTTTGTTTTCATTTTGCTTCTCACTTAACTATAAATAAATGAAGCAGACAATCAAATCAGCTCCACAAGGAAGAAAAACTACATTCCAAAATCACTCAACTATTCTCCTCCACTGCTATCCCTGCCAAGTTTATGGGCATTAAGGATGTTTTCAGCTGCCTAGCCCAAAACACTGCCTCCCCCCAACCCCCACCCCATGAAACTTGACAGGGCATTACATTTGGGGATCAGGAATATATAATGCTGCAGAGTGATTAAAATCCATTTTCCTTTCGCAAGTTTCTTATATAAACATCACCATAGATTATTATGATTATATATGAAGTAAGCCAATGCCTTTGAATTTAAAATTGATGAGACTAAGTTCTAAAGAAAAAATTTACATGACAGCACTAATCCTTATAGGGTAAATGCATGAGCACCCTTCTATCTATGTTAGGCAGAAAGCAATTAATTAAAATAAATGTTCTGCCAAGATTATTATACCTGTTATACTGATGATTTGCTCTTAAATTAAGTCTAATTTGTTCAGGAACATAAATCACTGTGTTGAGTTTTGTGGGAGAGGTAGGAAAGCCAGACTGATAGCAGACCATTCCATTGACATTAAAAGAGAAAATTCAATCACTTTATATCTAAGTGGTGGAATATTCCAGATTTATAAAATATCTGAGATTCTATGTGTGTAGATACTAATTCTTTTAGGATTGTATAGAATCCATTTTTCTTTTCTTTGGCTATGTCTTTTTTGAAAGAATGATATTCTGAATACATTTTCATCGGTACCAAATAATGTAGAAGCCATAAATGTACTTTTTAATGGATGATCAAGCCAACAATTTCCAAGGGACATAAGAACTGAGATTTTACAAGCCTACTGAATCACGCAGTGGCATTAAGCCCACTAATCTTGGGCCTAAGCCAAGTTTGTAGCCTTTTTGTGACTGACTATGCACTGGCTTCTTGAAAAGAACAGCTGCATGCAAAAATCCTCAACAAAATACTAGCAAACAATTTAGAAATACACTGAGAGGATCATTCACCACAAACCACATGAGATTTATTCCAGGGATGCAAGGATGGTTTAATATCCACAAATCAATCAATGTGATACACATTAATGAAAAGAAGGATAAAAACATACGATCATCTCAATAGATGCTGAAAATGCATTTGACAAAATTAAACATCCATTCAAGATAAAGATTTTCAATAAAGTGGGTATAGAGGGAACATATCTATACCTTTATATCTATATAATAAAGGCCATACACAACAAACCTACAATTAACATCATGGACAATGATGAAAAGCTGAAAGCTTTCCTCTAGGATCAGGAACAAGGCAAGAATGCTCACTTTCACCACTTTTATTCAACATAGTACTGGAGGTGCTGGCCATGGCAATCAGATGAGAAAATGAGATAAAAACGCATCCAAATTGCTAAAGAAGAAGTAATACTCTATTTGCAGATGACATGATGCTCCATATAGAAAACCCTAAAGACTCCACCAAAAATCTTAGAATAAATGGAGTCAATAAAGTTGCAGGATACAAAATCAATATACAGAAATCTGTTGTGTTTCTATATACTTAATAATGAAAGCAAAAAGAAATTAAAACGATCCTATTTATAACTGTATCAAAAAGAATCATATACCTAGGAATAAGTCTAACCGAGGATGTGAAAGACCTTTACTCTGAAAACTGTAAAACATTGATGAAAGAAACTGAAGATGATACAAATGAGTGGAAAGATGCTGTGCTCATGGACTTTAAGAATTAATATTGTTAAATGTCCATATCACCCAAAGCAATCTACGGATTCAATGCAATACCTATCAAAATACCAATGGCGTTTTTTACAGAACTAGAACAAATTATCCTAAAATTTGTATGGAACCACTAAAAAGGCCCTTAATAGCCAAAGCAATCTCCCAAACAAAGGTGGTGGCAAATGCTTCCTGATTTCAAACTGTACTATAAAGCTATAGTAAACAAAGCAGTATAGTCCTGGCACAAAAATAGACATGAATCAATGAAACAAAATAGCCCAGAAATTCACACTTAGATGGTCAATTAATCAATGACAAAGGAGGCAAGAATATACAATGGGGAAAAGATAATCTTTTCAATAAATGTTGTTGTGAAAACTGGACCACCTTCTTACACCATATGCAAAAATAAGCTCAAAATGGATTAAAGACCTAAATGTAAGACCTGAAACCATCAAACTCCTCAAAGAAAACAGGCAGTAAACTCTTGGACATTAGCCTCAGCAATTTTTTTCTGGATATGCCTCCCTAGACAATGGAAACAAAAGCCAAAAGAAACAAATGGGACTACATCAAACTAAAAATCTGCTTTCTGTACAGCAAAGGAAACCAACAAAATGAAAGGCAACCTACTGAATGGGAGAATATATTTGCAAGTGATATATCTGATAAAGGACTAATATCCAAAATATATAAAGAACTCAGAACACCAAAACAAAAATCCAATTAAAAAATTGGCAGAGGCTCTAAATAGAAATTTTTCCAAAGACATGCAGATAGCCAATAGACATATGAAAAGATCCTCAACATCACTCATCATCGGGGAAATGCAAATCAAAACCACAATGAGATAATCACCTCACATCTGTCAGAATGACTAGTATCAAAAAGACAAGAAATAATGTGTTGACAAGGAAAGAGAACTCTCATGGTAAGAATATAAACTGGTGCATCCACTAGAGAAAACAATATAAAGGTTCCTTAAAGAACAGCTTTCTCTTTTCCCCCATTAATTTATTAATTCTGTTATTTATATCATCATGAACTCATGGATATTTGTTTTGCTCTCTGTGTTATAATCCACTACTATCACTTGTTGTTCAGCTTGGCCACTGGGAGCCCTTTTAGTTGATGTCCTTTTGACATATTCCCATCATTTTTTGAGCACTTGTTTACTTTCTTGCACCACTTGACATTTATGGAGTCAGTTTTCAAGTTAACCACCAGCATACCTTTGTCTGATGGGGAGAAAGACAGACAGGGTGTGGGGGAGCAGGTAAGGAAAGAGAAAGTGGTATCAGCTGGAGCATGTAAATATACATAACGTGGTGAAGGAATTAGGGGTGGCTCTTCCTGTTCTTGTTGCCTGGAAAGATAACAAGGTCGCGGCTGGATTTTAGGACGTTTTTTGGTCTACTTCACCTTTAGTGCTCCCTTTACCTTTAGCTAACCTCTCAACTACATTCTCACTCATCACAGAAACCCTCTATCCCCGAAAGGCAAAGTCGTCCAGAAACTTGCCAGTGGACCAAATTTGCCACTCAATGTGGCCCTTGGACTGGTGCTTGTCTGGGGGCTGTTACCAATCTGCCATGTGATAAGTACAAAAATTGAGAAAAGTGTTGAGAAATTTTTACAGCAATTTAACATTATGTGATATGCAAACACATGATCCATAGACTCATTGGACAAGGTACAGACCAGTTTGGGTGCGGTAAAGCTTGCACAGTGAGTCAGATCGATAACAGGTTCTGTCCCAGTCATGTACAACAAAACCATGTCCTAATGGGAGATATTTTAAAGTTAGTTTACAACTGTTACCTAAAAGTATAATGAATTTAGAATTTATATTCAACTGCTTTACATCATAAATTGTTGGAACTGGATGAACATTTGAAGAAGTACTTTGGGAAAAAAATCATCACTTTTATTTTGGATGAAAATTAAAAATGAATATCCTGAGCTTGCTGAATTACTTTAAAATGTCTTCTTCCATTCCTATTTACATAACTCTGAGACTGGTTTCTCTACTACGAATGTTAAGACAAAATAGAGAAATAGTTTAGCTACATATCATCCCTTACATGTAGCACTGCTGTCAGTCCAACCACAATTAGATAGCTTAATAAGCAACCAAGTTTATCTGTCACATTTAAAACTTTAAATATTAATATACTTTTTTTTGCAAAGTTGCATATGGGTACATAATATAGGGGAATTGCTTTGACTCATAACTACTTACAAATGTGGAATGATAAAGCTATGAATATAATTAGTGATTATCTCCTATTAATTTATATTTACTTTAAATCATATACAGTTTGTATAATTTTTTGTTTCATCTGATTATATTGATTAAATATGAAATTTAATCTGTTAAATATAATAAAACAATCAGGCTTGTAATTTTTTAAATGTGGGATGTAAAAGTTGAATATAAATTCTGAATTTGTTACTCATGACTGGGACAGAGCTTCTTCTTTATGTGACTCACCATGCAAGCTTTACAGCACCCAAACTGGTCTGCACCTTATCCAAGAAAATGATTATGTGCCTGGATATCATGCAATGTCATTTTTTAAAAATTCATTTTTATTGTCTTTTATAAAAACACTGGTCCACAGTGGGTTTGAAACAG